TCGTGAAAAAATGTTTGGCTACCTAGTCGACTAAGTTAATCAAGGCTCACTTCAGGGTCCACATTCAGGCACTTGAGCTCAAACTGCTGGAACTGCTCCTGAGAAGTGGATCTGGCCGGGGCGCGGGGCGGAGGGAGGGCAAATGGGCATTACTGCATTAACGACTTTTAAGTTTAAACAGAGGTATCTCTTATTATTAGAATTTGTGCTATGCTGATGAGTACAATTCTTTCTTTTATAGTACATAAAAACCTTACCAGAACTAGGCCAAGGGTGTTTCTTTCCGCCCTTTCATTTATTTTTGGAATAAAAAGGGCTGTGACTGCGATGTTCACCATCTTTATTGAGCACCTGCTAATGTGGGAAATGCTGTGCTGGGCTTGTGTACCATCTGAATAGACTGCAGGTAACTTCAGCAGTCCTTGAGATGTTAGCCTTCCAGATTAACAGCACAAGAGCTGAAATGTGTAAGGTTAAAAGCAGAATAATATAGGTACTTATAAACCACTTTGTAAAATATTTTTTAAAAAACTAGCCTGAATCCAAAAACTCTTCATCAACTACACAGAACTTAAAACTGTCATTAAATTCTGCCATATAAATAAACAGTACCCTGGGGATCCAATCTGGTGAAAGAGGACAGTAATTCCAATTAGCCTGGCCTTTGGAAGACAGATAAGTTCCGTGCAGGGGGCGGACGTGTAAACAAATAATGACAACCTAGAGCTCAGAGTAAATGCCCTAAGAGAGGGCGGATAGGATGGGATGGGAAAAAAGAAAAAGGAATTGTTAGCCCTGCGCATTGCACTAATCAAGATTTCAAATCGATTAATTTAGAAAGTCTTAAAAATGGCTTAAAAAGTTAGCTTTTAAAACGTTTTGACATATGTAAATTATAAAAGTAAAATATAATTTCAATACAAGTGAACTCTGACTTCCTTGGCCTCCTTTTGCTGTAGTAATGATAACTGATTCTTAAGTATTCTCAAGTTTGCTAGGGAACACTCATTCTACAAACACTTGATTCTTCTAAATTTAGTTATTTGTAGATATTAAAAGTAGTCCAGCAATATCTTTAAAAATTACTATTTAGGTCTGCGGCATGCAAAGAAGTGTATTTACATCTCTCTATGCTTTTTTCATGTATTTTCATTGATATCTACCTAAAAGATTAGATGTCCGTATCAAAACCTTTATTAGCTTTCATTTTGTTCCAATTAAGTATACAAAATCACAAACTTAACATGTGTATCTTGAAAATACTTAGTCAAATGTGACACTTTCAAATTTTTCATGAATAGAACAAATATAAAATGTTGTTTCAAATACTTCCAAAGATCTATGATTTCAGAATTTTCACTTATTCAGGTTTAATAACCTGTGAACTAATTCCAAATTAGTGAGGTTTCACCAGACTATCTGCTGACCATGCAATAGCCAGTGAATGACAAGTTCACCAAGGAGATTCTAGAACTCCACCGGCATGTAACTGTTGTCATTTATTCAAATGTTATAGAGAAGATCCACACTGTCATGCAGGAATTTATCTTATAAACACTTACAGGGTACTTACTATTATGTGCCAATCTCTGTTCTAAGCATTTTACAAATATTATCTCATTTAATCTTTACAATCACCATGAGGTGGGTACCATTATTCTGTCCATTTATAGAAAATGAAACAAGAGTAAGGCAATGAGATGAGTAGCAGTAGGAGTGTTACCTAATACTTTGGGGAGAACAAAGGCTTGTGTCTCCCAAAGCCAGTAATTAGTACAACTTTTTCCCTGCCCCGAACCTAATGAAGATCAACTGTTCTAAAACCTGAAGGATGAATTCAAGGAAAGGTGCTGTCATCTCCATATCACACCAACTTGGAGGAAAGCTAATTGTCCACCTCTTTCACTTTCCTTTGTTCTTCTGGCAATGTTTACTTAAACTATAAAGCAGTAACCACTATGAACTGATGAGAGACTTACAAAAAAATGAGGCAAAATTGAGATTAAATGCAAAGGACAGAATTAAATGAGGAAATGAATTTAGAAATGAATGTGCCGAGTCTTGAGGAAAGCCCAGTGAACAGGCTTTGCCTTCAAGAGACTAGCCCTATTTCTCCTTTAAAAATGTTTAAAATGCACAAGAGAGCGTCTTTTCTGCTCAGGAAATCACACATCTGATTGTTAGCTAATGACCTCTTGTTTCCCCATCTGTGGCAATCTTGTTTTAATACATTACAGAGAACAGAAAAATCACAAGTACAACATAGGCATCCCACCAAGATAAACAGGAAGACGATCTTCAAGTTCTGGGAAAAGCAACTAAAAATTTGAGCCATTTTCTAACTATAGTATCGGGACACGCACAAGTAGGTGTCTTGGAAAACAGCACCTGCTCTCTTCTGTACTGGGTGTTCTGCCAGATGCACACATGCGCTGTGCTTCCCCACATACGTCGAACCAGGTTTACTGTCTACCAAGGTGGTTTCCTTATGAAAATAAAATATTTAAATAGACTTTGTATATATTCAGGAAAATTTATCTGTCACCCACTTTATCAGCTTATGATTTAAAACTTACCCACTAATCCAGTTAAAAATTGATCCTCTCAAGAAATATAACATGAAACTTTAGAATCATTCCTCATTATAATGATTATTTATTTACATAATGTATATAAATATAATGGGTTAATATAATTACACTATGAGTTGTTTTTTGTTGTCATTGTTAACAAACATTACCTTAATGTTGAACCCACTTTTAATGTAGTCCCAATTAGTAACTTATACCAACCCAGGTTAAAGACAGCTCAATTTTTTTCTGTAACTCTTTTTTGTGGGGAAAGGTAAACATACACAAAGATAGAGATAGTAGTATAATTAACCTCAACCCTGATTAGGTCAATAATTATCAACTTCCACAATTATCAACATTTTTATGTTCTTGTGCCCCCCCCATTTTGCCTTTTCTTTTTATTTTCCTTTTTTTTTTTTTTTTTTTTGGCTGCAGGATCTTGGTTTCCCGACCAGGGGATTGAACCCGGGCCCATGGCAGTGAAAGTGCGGAGTCCTAACCACTGGACCGCCAGGGAATTCCCTCCGTTTTGCCTTTTTTTTTTTTTTGCCTTTTTTTAAATTTATTTTTTATTGAGTTATAATTGACATATAACATTTTATTCATTTTAGGTGTACAACATAATGATTTGATATATGTATATTTTATGAAACAATTACCATAGGAAGTTTAGTCAACATTCATCACCTCACACAGTCTTTTTTCCTTGTGATGAGAACTTTTAAGATCTTCTCTCTTAGCAACTTTTTTTTAAATTAATTAATTAATTAATTTATTTATTTTTGGCTCCGTTGGGTCTTCGTTGCTGCGCGTGGGCTTCCTCTAGTTGTGGTGAGCGGGGTCTGTTCTTCGTCGTGGCAGGCAGGCTTTTCATTGCGGTGGCTTCTAGGCGCGCAGGCTTCAGTAGTTGTGGCATGTGTGCTCAGTAGTTGTGGCTCGTGGGCTCTGGAGCGCAGGTTCGGTAGCTGTAGCGCATGGGCTTAGTTGCTCCGCGGCATGTGGGATCTTCCCGGGCCAGGGATTGAACCCGCGTCCCTTGCACTGACAGGCGGATTCTTAACCACTGCGCCACCAGGGAAGCCCCCTCTCTTAGCAACTTTTAAACCTGCGATACAGTATGGTTAACTATAGTCACTCTTCTGTACATTACGTCTCCCAGACTTACGTATAACTGAAAGTTGGCACCTTTGGACCGTTTCACCACCCCCTCTACCCACTGCCTCTGGCAACCACTAATCTATTCTTGGTATCTATGAGTCAGTTTTTTTATTTTTGTCCTTTAGAAACCACATGTAGGTGTGATCATACAGAATTTGTCTTTCTCTGTCTGACTTATTTCACTCAGCATAATGCCCTTGAGGTTCATCCATGTTGTCGCAAAAGGCAAGATGTACTTCATTTTTATGGATGAATAATATTCACATATATATACATATATATGTATACACCACATTTTCTTTATCCATTTATCAATCAATGGTCATTTAGGCTGCTTCCATAACTTGGTAATTTTAAGTAATGTTGCAATGAACATGGTGGTGCAGATATCTTTTCCACTTAGTGTTTTCATTTTCTTCAGGTAAATACCCAGAAGTGGAATTGCTGGATCATATGGTAGTTCTATTTTTAATTTTCTGAGGAACCTCCATACCGTTTTTCACAGTGGCGGCACCAATTTGTACTCCCATCAACATTGCACAAAGGGTTCTCTTTTGACCATATCCTCACCAACATTTATTTCTTGTCTTTTTGATAATAGCCATTCTAACAGGTGTGAGGTGATATGGTGGTTTTGATTTACATTTCCCTGATGGTTAGTGATGTTGAGCACCTATTCATGTACCTGTTGACCATCTGTATGTCTTCTTTGGGAAAATGTCTATTCAGATCCTCTGCCCACTTTTTCATTGAATTGTTTGTTCTTTTTCTGTAATACATATAGTATACCAGATATATGATTTGCAAATATTTTCTCACTTTCTCTAGAATGCTTTTTATTTTGCTGATGGCTGCTTTTGCTGTACAGATCGTTTTAGTTTGATGTAGTCCCACGTGTTATTTTGCTTCTGTTGCCTTTGCTTTTGGTGTCAAATCCAAAAAATCATGGCCAAGACAGATGTCAAAGAGCTTCACCCCTATGTTTTCTTCCAAGAGTTTTATGGTTTCAGGTCTTACGTTCAAATTTTCAATCCATTTTGAGCTGAGTTTTGGTGTGGTGTAACATAGTGGTCCAGTTTCATTCTTTTGTATGTGACTGTCTAGTTTTCCCAACACCATGTATTGAAGAGACTATCCTCTTCCCATTATGTTCTTGGCTCCTTTGTCATAAATTAATTGACCATATATGTGTGGATTTATTTCTAGGCTGTCTATTCTGTTCCCTTGATCTATGTGTCTTTTTTACTTTTCCCCAGTTCAATAGCATTCTCATTACTTTTGCTTTGAACTCTTTATCAGATAAATTATTTATCTCTGCTTCATTAAGGTTTTTTCAGGGGGTTTTTATTTCTTTTTCTTTTCTTTGTCTTCTCATTCTGTTTAACTTTGTCTGTATGAAATTAGGTGAAACAGTTACCTATCTGGTCTTGAAGGTGTGCCCTGTGTGTGAGTGTCCCTGTGCGGTTTGCACGTGTCCAGTGGCTTTGGTGGAAGAGCTGGCTTTGAAGTGAGCAGGGCTGCATATGTCGCGATGGTGTGCTGGCAGTGTTTGCCACGTAGGAGGTAAGGCTGGGGTTGGAAGGAGTAAAGCCAGAACTACGTGCAAGCCAGGGCTTCTGCTGTGCTCAGTGGTCATCACAGCCCTCTCAGGTGTGAGGCCAGGAGCAGGTGCCCTGAGGGAGTTAGGTTTTTCCTGGGGGTGAATGGTAGTCTCCACCTTGATTTGGGATGCGGCTGAGGCCTGAGGGCTTAGGGCTGCACTTCTGTGCTGGTTTCCCTTTTTCCCTGGTGTGCAAGCCTTGGTTGGAGGCTGGGTTGGGGCCTGAGGAGTTGCTGCCTCACCACTGGGCTGGCCCCATCCTCTCCCAAGTGTGCACAGGGAAGGGAGCTTTGGAGAACGTGGTCTCTGCCTGGGAGCTAGTTTCACTCCCAAGTGTGTGCACCAAAACGCATGCTAGCAATGGCTGCCTCAGCCCTGGCCAGAGGCATGGGCGGGGTCTGAGTTGCCTCTGCTCCCTCCAATAATACCCATTCTCATTGGAAACAGCGACCTCCGCCTTCGTGGGGAGCAATGCCAGAGCGAGAGGGGCTGGGGCAGGAGCCTGGTGTGAGCTGTGCGGCGTGCACTGGGGGGGTCCTGGCAGGCAGGCCAGAGCCCCAGGCAGTTTCCAATCTGCTGCGTCCGTGCTGTGCGTGTGTTCAGGAGGCCTGGTTTCTTACAGCACTCCGGTAAGCCCCCCTGTCTTCCGCTTAGCGGGCTTGTCTTCCTGGTGTCAGACCTCAGGGCTGGGGTGTGGCTCAAACGCCTTGCTCCCCAGGGCAGGGATCCCCGAGCCTGTGATATCCTCCTCTTCTAGGGGTGTGGGTCCCAACCATCTCCATTCCTACCACACTCCGTGTGGCTCTCTCTTTACAGCGTTGGTTGTAGAAGAGCTGTTCCGGGAGGCCCCGGGTCAATTTCTGTGAGGGTCAGTCTATGTGCAATTGTAGTTTTGATGTTTTCATGAGGGGAGGAGAGCCCAGCGTCCTTCTACTCTGCCGTCTTGATCTCTGCATCGCACTCTTTCTTTTTTTTCAACATGTTCAAACATTTTGTTTCAAGCTTACTTTTTTAAAATTAATTAATTTATTTATGGCTGCGTTGGGTCTTCGTTGCTGTGCGCGGGTTCTCATTGCGGTGGCTTCTGTTGTTGCGGAGCACGGGCTGTAGGCGCGCGGGCTTCAGTAGCTGCAGCTCGAAGGCTCTAGGGCACAGGCTCAGTAGTTGTGGCGCACGGGCTTAGTTGCTCCCCGGCATGTGGGATCTTCCCGGACCAGGGCTCGAACCCGTGTCTACTGCATTGGCAGGCGGATTCTTAACCACTGCGCCACCAGGGAAGCCCTCAAGCTTCCTTTTTCTATTTCAAAAGTAACATAGATGTTTATCCTATAATTTGGTTTTTAAGAAGCCATTTTATTGACTATTATTAATTCATAAAAAGCTGTACGTGTTTAATGTTTACAAAAGATATCTTTGAATATAAGTATACGTCCATGAATACATCACCACAATCTATGCCATAAAAAATCCATCTCCAGAAGTTTCCTCCTGCCCTAATTATTTATTACTGTTATATTTTGTGATAATAGCACTGAAGATCTACCCTCTTAGCAAATTTTTAATTATACAATACAGCATCGTTGACTACAGTCACTATGCTATACGGTAGATCTCTAGGTCTTATTCATTTTGTATAACTGAAACTTTGTACCCTTTGACTAATACCTCCCTGTTTCCCCCTCCCCTTAACCCCTGGCAACCACCATTCTACTCTCTGCTTCTATGAGTTTAGCTATTTTAGATACTTCATATAAGGGATATCATGCAGTATTTGTCCTTCTGTGTCTGGCTTATTTCAGCTGGCATAATGTCCTCCAGGTTCATCCATGTTGTTGCAAAAGGCAGGATTTCCTTCTTTCCTTAAGGCTGAATAATATTCATTGCATGCTTATGTCACATTTTCTTTATCCATTCATCCATCCATGCATATTTATTTTCATATCTCAGCTATCGTGACTAAAGCTTCAATGGACATGGGAGTCCCGATATCTCTTCAAGTTTCTGATTTCAATTCTTTTGGATATATACCCAGAAGTGGGATTGCTGGATCTATTTTAATTTTTTTGACGGACCTCCATAATGTTTTCCATAGTGGTAGCACCATTTTTGATTCCCACCAACACTGTACAAGGGTTATAATTTCTTCACATCCTTGACAGCACTTGTTATTTTTTGTTTTTGCTTTGTTTTGTTTTTTTATAATATCCATCCTAACAGGTTTGAGTTGATATCTCATTGTGGTTTTGATTTGCATATCCCTGATGATTAGTGATGTGAGCACCTTTTCATGTACCTTTTGGTCATTTGTGTGTCTTCATTGGAGAAATGTCCTTTCACATCCTTTGTCCATTTTTTGGGTTATTTGTTTATGTTGCTGTTGAATTGTAGTTGCAGTAGGTCCTTTATGTAAGGATATTAGCACCTTAGATATAGAGTCTGCAAATATTTTCTTCCATTCCATAGGCTGCCTTTTCACCGTTTACGTTTCCTCTGCTGTGCAGAAGCTTTTTAGTGAGATGTAGTGCCACCTGTCTATTTTTGCCTTTGATGCTTATCCTTTATGTGTCATATCCAAGAAATCATTGCCTAAACTAATATTATGACTTTCCCACTATGTTTCCTTCTAGGAGCTTTACAGTTTCAGGTCTTACGTTTAAATTTTTAATACATTTCGAGTTGATTTTTGTGTATGTCATAGATAAGGGTCCATCCGATTTCATTCTTTTGAATGTAAATATACAGTTTTTCTAACATCATTTGCCCCATAAAGATAGCATATTCGTGTCGCTCAACCTAATATGTCCCACACAAAAGTATATTATTAACCATTTATGAATTGGCGTACCTTGTTCACCCTGTCTCCTTTCCTCACAGGAGTTACCTGGATGCTGTGTTTTTAGTTCCCATTCACTTTTTGAGCCCACTGTGATCTGATTTCTATCTCCATCACTACCAAATTGGCAATGATGTTCTAGTTGTTAAACTTAAAAGCCATTTTTATTCCATTCTCAACGTTTTTTTTTTCTTTTATGACATTGACATTTTTGAAGAATATATGTCAGTTGTTTTACAGAATGTTCTTCAGTTTGGATTTGTCGTCCTCGTGATTAGAGCTAGATTCAGATTATACACTCTCTGGCTGAAATACTAAGGAAGTAATGTCGTGTCCTTTTCTGGGTATCACATTTGGAGGTACATGGTGTCCATCTGTCCTTAACTGGTTATATTAATTTTGATCATCTGGTCAAGGTATTGTTTTGTGTCTCCGCTATATAGTTACTGTTCTTCTCTGTGGAATTAATAAGTAATCTGTGGGGAGACACTTTTTAAGACCTCATCAAACTAGATATAACATTCCTTAGCAATTCTTGCCTGAACCAACATAGTGTTTATCCAACTCCACTACTCCCTTCACACTAGTGAGCATTTTACTGAAAGGAAGAGCCTTCCTTTCTTTATTTAATCATCAATATAGACTCACGGATCCTGTTTAATTCAGTGGATCATAATCCGTTGCATCCTTATTTATTTTTGTGCTCGAAGTGTCCCAGACATGGATAGTAGGAGTTCCTTCAAGACTTCTGTGTCTTTTTTCCATGCTACATATATCTTGTTTGTTTGTTTGAGCACTTCTGGTTCAACAAGATGTTCCAGGCTCAAATTATACCTTCCCTGCCTCAACCCTGGGATCAGTCATTTATTCAGTGACCCCTGCATCCTTTTAGTGAGTAATGGTATCTGGAAACCAAGATCTAGATTATAAGTGTGCTTATTGCAACTAGGATATCATTGCTTCTAGACCCTTTCAGCCTACAGAGCTAAGTAATCTTGAGTTCATACTGATACCTCCAATTCCAATCCAATACCACAAGGTTCTTCATTGCCTTCCCCTGTTCTTTATTTGTATCTCCCTTCGTCTGTAGTGTGGACTATGGCTACAGACATTAACACAATTTGCTACAAGTAAAGTAGTTTCATAATTACCACACACATACTGCTACCACTGCTACAAAACAAAAACAAATACTGAGTTCAAGATTGGTCTGAAGTTCTTTTTTTCTCCTAGATTGAGAATATGTAGTCAAAGTACTCTGTTCAAAAGTAATTGATTTAGTTTTCATTTTTATTCCCTTCAGTGCTGTAGTGTTATGAATTTGCAGTCCAGCTAGTGTTGTTTAGTTGTGTTTGCATTCAGTGTTAGGGCATTCACCCTTCCTCATTGATTTAATTTTTTACATATGTAAAACATTAACATGATTTCAAAGGGAAACTATTAAAAAAGTTACATTCAGAGAAGTATCTATCCCTATTCCTTCCATCCATCCACTTCACCTCCTTGCCTCTGTGAGTAACCAGTCTTCTTATTTTCTGGTTTATCCATCCTGTATTTTTCTTTATTGAAATATAATTGACATATAACATCATGTAAGTTTGAGGCATGCAGCTTGTTAATTTGATACATTTATATATTACAATATGATTAGTGTTCCTGGTACCTTTATCATGTCACAGAACTTTCTTGTTTATGTTGAGGACAACTAAGATGCAGTCTTAACTTTGAAGTTTATAATACAGTATTGTTGGCTATAATCAATCTGTTGTGCATTAGAGCTACAGAACTTATTTATTTGCTAGTTGAAAGTTTGTACCCATAAACATTTCTCCAATTTCCCCAGCCCCAGCCCCTGGAAACCACCATTCTACTCACTGTTTTTACGAGTTCAACTTTTTTAGATTCCACATATAAGTGAGATCATACAGTATTTGTCTTTCTCTGTCTGACTTATCTCACTTAGCATAATGCCCTTAAGGTCCATCCATGCTGTTGCAAATGAAAGGATTTTTTCCTTTCTCATGTCTGAATTTTCTATATATATATATAACCCACAACTTCTTTATCTATTCATCGGTTGACAAACAGGTTGTTCTCATATCTTGGCTGCTGGGAAAAATGCTGCAATGAACATGGGTATGCAGATATCTTTGAGATACTGATTTCAATTCCTTCAAATATATACTCAGAAGTGGGATTGTCGGATCCTATGGTAGTTCAATTTAAATTTTTTGAGGAACTGCCATACTGTTTTCCATAATGGCTGTACCAATTTACATTTCCACCAATAGTGTATAAGCGTTCCCTTTTCTGCACATCCTCGCCAACATTTGTTATCTCATGTCTTTTTGATAAAAGCCATCCTAACAGGTGTGAGGTAATATCTCACTGTGGTTTTGATTTTCATTTCCCTGATGATTAATGATATTGAGCAACTTTTCATATACCTATTGGCCATTTGTATGTCTGCTTTGAAAAACCTATTCAGGTCCTTTGCTCAATATATAATTGGATTGTTCACTTTTTTTGCTATTGAGTTATGTGAATTTTTTTTTTTTTTTTTTTTGCCGTACGCGGGCCTCTCACTGTTGTGGCCTCTCCCGTTGCGGAGCACAGGCTAGGGACGCGCAGGCTCAGCCGCCATGGCTCACGGGCCCAGCCGCTCCGCGGCATGTGGGATCTTCCCGGACCGGGGCACGAACCCCTGTCCCCTGCATTGGCAGGCGGACTCTCAACCACTGCGCCACCAGGGAAGCCCCTATGTGAATTCTTTACATATTTTGGCTATTAGTTTTG